GATATTTGAGCGGGCAGGGGCCTGCTGGGATCTCAGTGGATGCCTCTGATGTCCACTGTTGGAAGGGCCAAACAGCATATTGGCTTGGATCTTGAATGTCAAGACTCCTGGGTGGGATTTTGGCTGGTGGAAATCAGGCATCTGCAGTCTTGGGTTTTTGCATGGGAATTAATGTAATGCTTATAAATGAAAATGAATTCATTTGACCATCTTAAATCAAACACGATAATAGTAATAAAGAAACATACTGGCCTCGGAATTGTGTTTGTTGTTGCTGCTGGTTTGTAATATGGAACTTTCTTTCTTATCAGCAGTGCTAACAATCCTATTAAAAATAGGTGGCGCTCAGAGTTTGCTATCGCCTTGCAGACTGGACAGCTACCATGTATAGCAGACATCCAGCCATCATGGTTCACTTTCTCTTGATTTTCCAACTCATATCTACCTGGTCTCCTTATAGCTGATGTGTGATTCCTCCCCATATCAATTGCCTTCTAGTTTGTCTAAGAATGACCATAACCAGTCCCCTGGATGCAGTCATTTTTTTTGCGATTGGGCAATGTGATGTAAGTGGCGTGGCATGCTGGGACAGAAGTGTGTACCCTTTCTGCATATGAAAGAGGAGACCCTTGGTATCTTTCACGACTGACTGACTAGTATCCCACCTCCATGACTTGATGCAGCCTTCATTGTCTAGAGTTGACATTGAACAACACGAGCCCCAGACAACCCCTGCCCACTCACCCATCTCCTAATTAAATGAGTCGACACATCCTCCCTGTTTGGCTAGCTTGATGGCATTTGAAATGTTCATCAAACTATGATGGTCAGTTCAAAAGGATTGCCACAGAATCATCGAAACGCTCATTAAACAAAAGTGTCGAAATGTGAAGCTTTTTTCTCAACATCTCCTTCTTTCTATCCATTTAGAAGAAACGCGGTGGTTCCTCCACTCTCAACTTTCCTTAAAAAATCTGGAGAGCTTCAGTTGACAAGTCCTCTGGCCATTTGCTTAACATTTGTTGATTAAAAGGAATTATTATAAACCACTGAACTAGTAAACACAGCCACATCACTGTTACTTTGAAGGCAGCTGTAAACTGCCCAAACTGTACCTTTGGCATCACAAATGCAGCAGGATTTCAAAGAAGATACCTGGACTTCCACTCACGTAAGCTCTTCCCAGCACTGCACTCCCAGCAGTTGCCCAAGGAGCTGCTAGTAGGGCTATTTTACTTCCCACCCGGTTATTATTCAAAAAGCAAAACACACTCACTGCCATTGAAGTCATTTTTACACCTAGGGACCCGAATGGGACACAGTCGAACTGGCCTAGTGGGTTTCTGAGACTGTGTAGAAACTGGCCTAGAGGGCAATTTTCTGTTTTGTTTTTGCCACAAAATGGATCGCTAGCTGCTACCTACACTAAAGGAAGGGCTGGCGTTATTTCCTCTCGCCTTTGCTCCAGGAGTGAGTCACTACAATTGTGTATTGTAGCTGAGTACATTGATGCAGTTAATGCTTCCCTTAGGGAAATAGCCATTTTTTTAAAAAATGGACTTCTGACACTAACTTTTTTCAAATAGGTAGGCAATGAGTGATCTAAATATGCATTTGCCGATGTAGAATTATTTACAGGATGTCAGAAATTCTACTTTCTGTTAATTGGCTGGGAACTGTCTTCTTTTAAGAAAAACAAACTACATGGTAGGAATCCAACTATAATAAGTCAAGCAAACAATTGCCTTTCTTTCTCTCTGCCCCATCACAGTGCTATGTCGCCCGTGTTGCCCTGTTGGGGACCTTGGAAAGCAGCATGTGTTCTAAGCGAGACCATTTGCCATCTCCCACTGTCCTTTTGTTCTGAGGCCGTGCAACCCTGGGTTTTCTAAGTTTGGGTTCACGGTTACAACCCACTCTTGGCCCTGCCAGCCAGCAAGCAGGAAAAGACCTGTCTAGGTCTGTGTGATTAATGATAAGCAAGAACTTCCAGAAAAGTTCAATATCATTGAACCCTGATGCTGAAGCATGCTTGTTCCAAAATCTTCAGCTGCAGTTAGCTTTAGTATGGTGGAGGAGCGTATTTTCACCTCCGACCTCTTTTCAGGAAGGATGGACTTGATGTGCCTCTTGATGCCTCTTCACCTGCTACCTCTCTCTGTCACAGAAACCACAGGGTGCTTGGTGTCAGGGGCAAAAACTTTTTCTTTGACTTCACATCCTTTTCTATATCATGACACATTTGCA